CTGACATGCCCCTGACACGGCCCTGACACGGCACTGACATGCCCCTGACACGGCCCTGACACGGCACTGACATGCCCCCTGACATGCCCCCCCCCGGCAATGTAGAATATGTTTTGGTATACCAGTAAACAAGTTCATTTCAAATGTAATACTATACATATATATAATATACTCCGATACTTCTTGTTCAATCAAATGTGCAAACTTGCTTGTGTGCCATCTTGAACAGTGCAAAGCCAGTCACTTTTTTTCCAAACCCCAAAGTTGTCCACTACCTCGTATTGAAGCTGTAACAGCTGCAGTAGCATGTTGATGAACACGCCCCGCAAACAGCTATATAGCGGCTATCCCATATGGCACCCCAAAAAATTGCCGGGTGATCCTCGGCTGTGTTGGCCATCACTTGAAATTTGCCGCAGCATCGATCTGGGACTTGAGACGGGCAGTGGCCTCCGCCACCTTCTCGTACTCAGCGGTCATTGCATCGATCAGTGGCTGGGCGGTCCCTTTCCCACAGTCAATCTTGGCCCTTGCATCGTGGATGGCCTGCTTGGTCTCTTCCACAGCACGGGTGGCAGCGTCAACCACATAACTTGGAATCATGCTGCCGTAAGCCTGGGCCTTGTCCACCAAGTCTTTCAAGAAAACAGTTTTTGTCTCCGTACCATCGACCTTCTTCCCTAACTTCTTCTTTTCACTAGCTTTCATCTTGGGTTCATCACCGCCAGACCCACCAGCAGCCGTTGTTTTCCTGGTCCTTTTATTTTTGATAGGTGCCTCATCTTCCTGCAATGCCACAGACCCCTTGCGCTTCTCAGTAGTACCATGTTCTTCGACATCTTTGATACTGGCGTTGTACTTGGGACCCCGAAGAGCGTCTTCTGCTTGACTGGGCAGAAGAACCTTTTCCCGTTCCTCAAGATGTTCTCCAAAGTGCTTGGTTTGTCAGCATACTTGACCTTCAAATCTTCCTCTTCCAAAAATTCAACATTTTGGTCGAATTCAAACCTTGTCGTTGAGGTTTTCCACTGGGTGACAGTCTCGTCCAGTTTGGAGCGCAAGTCCTCCCCCCTTAGATGAGAAAACTGCTCATAGAAGGACTGCGCGCGGTCGCCATCCACTTTGGTAAAGTCTTTGACCAGGTTCCCATGTTTTACGGCCAACCTTTGGATTGCCCCCCGAACATTGTGACAATTCCTGCATCGTCTGGTCTCACTGACTTTTGAAGAAGCCCTCACAATCACCAAGCTGTTGTGTTCATCCACCTGCCGCTTGCAGGTACAGCAATGATTTCCCATGGCCTCATCAGCAGTCAGCAAATCAGCATCAGCATCACCTAATGAGACTGCGCTTGGGGTAGCAGGAACCATGGCCATTGAGGCGAGCCTCCAAAAGATGCTGCAGGTGAATCCTTGCAGGCTTCACAGGTAAAGAGCCAAGCTAGCAGAATTGCAACATGATAAAATGTCATCGTGAAAATGCCAATGAATATTGAAACAATTGATCTTCAGATATGGTTCAAATAGCCTGAAATTGTTTCTTCACATGCCGTCCCCCACAACCCGCATGTTTTTCCCCGTGCGCCCATCTCACAATGTCTCTATATATAGTTTTTTTTGCTCTGGGACATCCTCAGAACTTGCCTATTCGATGCATTGCAAGCGCGCTTGAATTGACCCACAGGATCTCACACAGTAGGGCGCCGCTTCGAAATCAGGCTCCCAAGCCACCAAAGTTTCGTGGGAATTTCCTTCAAACAATGAGCCTCGAAGCTGCGTGTGGCAATCAACTTGGGCCATGACCATGGTCTTCCCGGAAAATAGAGTAACCTGCAAAAATGCCCGGGGAATCAATAGCTCTTTCCGCTGGGGGGCAAAAACGCAGTCTCTCACATAAGTCATCCCTGTGGGACTCATGAGTCGTTTGGCAGAGTGAACTGTCACAACATCGCGACTCAACAAAGACATCATAGAAGCACCTTTTTCAAGAAGACGTAGTGGCCCACCCAAATAAGTATCTTTACACATCTTCCCAGCATTGTCAAAAGCTTCCAAGGTCTCATGAAGAATCCTCATCGTAATTGAATGTGTCAAATTATTGTTGCATACATGTCCAGCAACCGTCTTCACTGCACGGTGTTTTCTCTCCGGTGAAAAGCAACTTAAGCTGACCTTGAATCGTTCGATGCACTCTGGCAGGTGGTACAACCAGTGGAATTTAGGTTTTGTACACTCTGAATACAGCCTCCCAAATAACACATTGTGTTTGTCAATGGCTCGTCTCAGTTGTGGAAGGAGCTGCAACAATCTTTGGCCCCGCTTCAACATGTCCAAAATGGTTGCCATGAGCTGTAAACATTCACGATGCTCAGGTAACAAGCCTGTTGGCCCTAAGACCAGCTGATTGAACAAAAGCAGAACTGGAATCGCCAGTAAAACTTCGTTTGCAAAGCAACGTATATGTGAGTTGTCCTCGGTGTTCACACGCTCTTGGAAGAAACCTTTGGGTAGCTTGAAATGTTTCTGCGGTGCTATCACTTCCTGCGCAAAGGAATCCAAACGCTCAAATGACACATTGTGTTGCCGTAGGATCTTGACATATTCATTCACCTCGTATTGGGCGACGCCGCCACTTGCGACCAGGATGTGCATCCAATCAAACATTGTTTGGCCAACTGGGCAAACCACTCTTTTCAGAGTGGGATGCCACAAAATACCTTCTTTGTTGAATGTCAACCCAAAAACTTGTCCCAACTTGTTGACCTGTTTCTTGTTACCAGACTCCCCCTCCAACCGTTCCCGCATTTCTTTGAACAATGTGGAGGTGTGTCTTGCAAATTTGCTACTGTCAGAACATGAGTAATGGACAAGCCATTCGTGACCATTCAAGTTCTGTTTGGGCATATGGCCCAAAACATTTTGGCACAGACAGCAAGGTTTGGTGCCTGAAGCACCGCGCAAGTTCCACAATTGGCATAAAGCCTTTTCATCGCACATCAGGACTTCAAACGTGCCCTTGCATAGAAACATGCCTTTGGTGGAAAAGCATGGAAAGCCCGTGCTGAAATTGAAGGGATATTCCTTTTCCAGAAATAACTCCAGCATCACTCCAAATAAGTAGCTGTAGCCGCCAGCCAGCTTGGACACAAGTTTGGTGGGAAAGGATGCAAAATAGAACCAACCCTGGGATCTTCCGTGAAACCATGAGGGCAAATCCAGCAAGGTCCAATACCACAATGCCACGCTGCGGGATGGGTCAGGACGAAGGACGTTTCCTGGCTTTATCTCATCCATGTATATGCCCGCCCGAACTTGTTCAACGGCCCGCACCAAATCACCTAATTGAGGGCACTTTTTTGTTGCTTCATGAAGGAAGGCACAAGGGTTCACAAAATGCCAATCCATTTCTTCTTTCTCCAATTGCAACTTGATGGATCCCATCATGGGACCACAGGAGCCTTCCATAGTCAAAGGACGTTTGATCTCAGTTCGTAGTTTCTTTTTCTGGTGGCCAGCATCGGCATTTTCATCTCCCAATAGTGTCACATAACTTTGAAGGCTGCAATTGGTAGGCAATGATGGAGTTGAACTCTTGGGTTTTTTGAACGGTTGCGACACAACCATGATTGCAGGAGGCGAGCCTTCTCTGAACAAATCTAAAGTTTGGAGACAAATGGCAACACAATGCAACACACATACACCAAGTCATAGCTGTCATAACATGTATTGAACGCACTGCCCACACGCTGTTATAGTGTTTCCTGGCGTTTCACATGTTTGTTCAGTAGAATGGTGCATTGTTTTGGACCTGCGTTGATTTCTCCTGTTTTCGGAAGTTTTATCGGCAAGGGTCGCCCATTATCAATTATCAATATGTACATGTGACAGGCTAGCCTTGTCACCATGCCTCTTTGCACAATCCCCGCCCGACTCCCTCTTGGCGCTCTCGGGGTCAATCTTTTCAGTTGAAAGAATCGTTGGCTCCTCCTCCTCCAAATGGCCGTCCACCGATTCGGAGAACACCGTCCTCCCAGCATCCTAAGGAGAGGATTGGGACAGAATATCAAAAAACACTGCAGACTATCAAAAACATTGACACAAAACACACAGTTAGTCAGAATGATTTGTTCAGCAAATCGTTTGGTCAAGGAAACCTATATGGCTGAAACACATATATACTTAACAACAACCAAAGGGTCCGACGTTGGGCTTACCTCATCCTTCTCGTTGCCATTGTCCACTCGTCGCGCATCCTCCTCAGCTGTCGGCTTCGCCAGCTCTTCTTCATCTTTTTTGTGCTCACTGCCTGGACCTTCGCTGTCAGAAGCTTCCTGCTTTAGTTTTCTTGGTCTCTCTCTCGGGTCTCTCGGGCAAGACTGTGAACCTCTTGCAGCAGTAGCGGTGAACTTGTTCTTTTTGAACTTTTTTTTTTGGGGCTCTTTTTCCTTTTGAATTCTTTGAACTCCTGGGTGAGCTCCGCCAGTTGACTCTGCGTTGTGTAGTTGGAGGCCTGGCTTCTCTTCAGGTGGCCGCGCACTTCATCCAGGCCGTTTGTCAGAGCCTGCGCATACCCCCACACACTCTGGAACTGGTGGGCGTGGCCGTTGACGGTCTCCTGCATGGCCTGAAATTCAGACCTGGAAGGCCCACCACTGGAAGACGCTGGGGTCTCTTCAGTTCGCCCTCCATCCTCTCCATTCCTTTTAATCATCTGGTTTGCTAGGTCCTTGGCTGCTGTCAACCATTCGGCGGGTCCACTCACCGTCAGGCATCGTTCTCCCCATTGTTGACGGTACCGGACCGAGGCGCTGCGTCCGGTCCTTTGCAGGATCACCTGCCGGTCAGCCGAGGTGAGCGTTCCAACCCCACCTCTCAATGGGATGGGGCCCATGTGAGCATCACCAAAGCCCTCATCTCGAGCACCGTGGCTTTTCATGCCTCTATTTTTCGGATTGTTGTCGAACAATCCCTGCGGGCGAGCCACGCAGTAGGGGGACGAGCCGCCCAAAGTCAAGAGCAAAACAAATTGCAGAAGAATCAAATGAACACCACATATCTAAAAACATGCAGCCGCATCAGTGGCAACCTTTGAACTCGAAACCAATGGACACACAACCAAAAATCATTCAAAAAAACAGTTCACACAACCCAACTGCAACATCCCAAACCCACATCAAACCCCGAGCACGGATGGAAAATTATGAAAAGTCAACGTGCGGAACTTAGCTACTTAGCAACATAGTTACAAGTTGTTAGTGAATGTTACTAAGTACAAACCTTTGAACTTATAAGTTCAGTTGTAAATAGGCTAATTGATGAATATTTTTTATAAGTTTTGAACAACTTATATCTAGTATGATTTTAACTAAACATATTATAAATTCAGTTCACCATGTTATAAGTGAATTTGTCCATGATATAAGCTGAGTTGTATGTTTGCTTATCCCAAAAACCATCTAAGTAGTCAGGGTGAGGTCAAGTGTCGTCAGATGTAGTCATCAGATGTCTGGCCACATTGAGCGTTCACCAAAGGAAAAAGGAACTCCCTTCTTTCTTGATTGCCTCGGTTTCTGTAGGAAAGCTCTCTCTAGGCCATTGGTATTGCTGGTGTGGTGGAGGAAATCGTTTTTGGAGAGCAAACCGCATATAGCTTTTGGTTGAAGACTTGAAGAAGCTGCAGTGCCTGAAATCACGGAACTGGGGACGCGTTTTGGCAAAGCCAAGAGTCCCATTTGTTCACGCCTGCTTTGAGCGAGTCATGGACGCTACCTCCGTGGTGGCGATGGGACGATGATGTGCTCACTACCTTGCTGTGAAAAAGAATTACCACGCTGACCCACACACCGCTTTGTTTTGTCGCTGTTGCGTTTAATTATGTGGGGTTGGCGGTGTGTCCGCTTTAGGTGGCGGTGTCACCGCTGTAGGAACTGACATGTTCAACAGGCGGCTGCCTCGCCCCTCTTTGGTCTACAAACAGGGATGGTTTTAGAAGAGCGCTCACACAATGAAAAAACCCAGGATTTACAAAAAAAATCTTAAAACATAACAATTTACAACCTCAAAAAAACAGGTTTTTGTAAAAACAAGCTCTTGTCAAACACCTGCGCTCTACTTAGCCTACTTATAAGTATGGTTATAAGTTGGTCTAAGTAGTAAGGTCATAAGTCAGTATAAGTAAGTTTGTAAGTAATTTGTAAGTAACTGTTCTGGCCTAAGTAACACGGACCTTTTGGTACCTTTTGGTCTTCTTTGTACCGTAAGATCTTCAAGAGCTCCGATGTCGACGTCGCCCGCATCATCGGTCACCTTCACCCTGCTTCCCTCAAGGACGATTGGGATGAGAAGCGCAAAGGCCCTGGGGGGCCATTTGATCACCAAAAACAAGGTCGAAGGTCAAATGGCCATTTGGACACGAAAAAACGGTATGGCCGTGAACAATTATTTGGCCGTGAAAAAGCCGGTAAGGCCGTGAAAAAGTGTGCATTTGGACGTGAAAAAACGGCTCTTGGCCGCGAAAAGGCGTGAAAAACGTGAACTCAAGGAGTTGAAACCGTGCAAGAACCAAATGGCCGTGAAAACGGGCAATGGCATCAAATCTTTACAAAATAGGGTCGAGAGCTGTTTGATCGCATTTTTAGTGATCGAATGGCTCCCCAGGGCTTGGGTCGCCTCGCCGATCGTGTTTTCGATCTTCTTCGGGGCCAGATGCCCAAGAACACAACTGAAGCCCTTCAGGACCAAGTCGAACAACTTCTCAAAGAGAACGAGAAACTCAAGGCTGGTACGGGGGACTGGCCATCCTCCTTCCCCGGTTGAGAGCCCCACTGATCCGGAAACTCCAGCTGATCGTGAACGCCTTCACATTGACAAGTCCAAACCTCGTGTTACCCCACCGGCTCCGCCTCGTTCGGGACGCACTTTGGACAGCCACTTCAAAGCTTCGCCCATGGATCTGGAGAAGTCTACCTCGACCCCTGCCGCTCCTGCTGACCCCCTCCATGCTTACATTGTCGGCGCCCATCGACCGGTATTGGAAGACAACGCACCGACGAAAGCCACTAAGACTGAGATCGACAAGTGGATCAAGGCCAACATCAAGGACAGGGCTCGCTTGTCCAAGCTGGAGGAGATCGCCAAAGAGATTGACTCCATCATCACCAATCTCAAGGCCGACAAACTGGACCTTCCCAACTTGTCCCGCCTGACCATTGCCTGGGGCTGGGACCCCAAAGTTGCCCAGAGTGCTTCCCAGAATGCTTTGATTCGTATGTTGGCCACGGCGAATGCCCTGGTCGCCTGATGGTTCCACCATCACTACCCTGCGGAATTTTGTGACCACGACCATTTCTCAAGGCTGCTCCCCCTCTCTTCCAACACCTATTCCTGTTCGTGCTCGTCGTCTTTTCCTACAATTCTTCACCCTTGTGGATGCTCATTGTGAACTTACTTATTTGGAGCTTCGCCCCCTGGTCTTTTTTGAAAGGTCAACTTTGCCGCCTTATCCTTTTTCGCACCCTTCCCGCAGGTGCTCGTCGAACCCGTTTTCTTCCTTTGCTGCGTCGACTTCGACCTCACCAACAACTTTACCTTCAGGACTACCTTCAACCCAACGTCGTCTACCTTCAGTTCCATCCTCACTACGCCGGCAGCAGCATATTTCCCTGTTCGATCGGGAGATGTCCCGCAGACGCAAATATCGACAACTCTGCAGCGGTATCACCGCTTACTACAAACCCGCTCTCCGCTATTGGAAGCGGACCCGCGCCTTTTTTCAACATGCTGCTATTCCTCTCCAGTTCACTTCTGACACTTTGACCACTCGATCCACCGAGATTTCCTTTCAACAACATTTTCGTCCTCAACTCAATCATCCTTGGATCAACCCGCTCCTTCGTCGACACGGACTCCATCGCCCTCAGTACAACATTCCTACAACCCGCCAACTTCATCGCCTCCATCGTCGCCTTGAACGCCAACACGCTCAGGAATGTCTATAGGATCTTAGTCTTCACCTTCTTAAGACTTCGGACGTTCTTCACCTCCTCCTACACGAGTGACCCACAAGAGTGTCCTACAAGAGTGTCCCAAAAGAGTGCCCCCAAGAGTTGCCCACAAGAGTGCCCCACAAGAGTGTCCCACAAGAGTGTCCTACAAGAGTGTCCTACAAGAGTGTCTCACAAGAGTGTCCCACAAGAGTGTCCCATAAGAGTGTCCTACAAGAGTGTCCTACAAGAGTGTCTCACATAAGAGTGTTGTGGCCTACAAGAGTGCCCCGTAAGAGTGACCCACAAGAGTGTCCTACAAGAGTGTCCCGTAAGAGTGTCCCACAAGAGTTTCCTACGCAAGTGACCCACCAGAGTGTCCTACAAGAGTGTCCCGAAAGAACGGCCTGCAAGAACTTCCTACGAGAGTGACCCACAAGAGTGTCCCGTAAGAGTTTCTCACAAGAGTTTCCTACAAGAGGAGTGTCATTTGGACATGTCAAGCTTGTCGAACGTGTTTGCGCGCGGGTTCGTGGGCCCCATCTTGTTTTTTATTCCTGAATGCATAGCAAAGGGTTCTCGTTTAACTTGGGGAGTCTGAGGGCAATGACTTTGACTCCGTGTTCGCAACGGTTCGCAACCGTCCGAACGTGACTGATAAGGCCGTGACAGTGTATGGCAAGCTTTTGGAAGAAGTTTTGGAGGGAATGCTGAAGTTGCAGATTCGTGTGAAATAGCATAGAAACGTAACATGTGGAAGTGTCGAGGATGATTTTTCTGCGCGGTTGCAGCGTTTCGTGAGATCCTCCGTTGCCTTCATGCACTGTGACAGTTGGATTGGCGTTCGCAGGGTTGTCTGTTGTTGGATGTCGCTGTGACAGTGATTTGCGTTTCAGGCTGTTGCCTCGAAGCTGGATGTGAGTGTGCTCAGAAAGCGTCGAAATCATTCCAAACGTGTGGTGTGGTGCAAATTTTGCCGAAGGCGTGAAGATGTCATGTCGTCACTTTTCGTGGCAGGCGCAGTATTTTGTGCGTGATGGAGGTGTCGAAGTTAAGTTTTCACAGCAGGCGGAGGGAATCGTGAGGTTGCGACATTTGGTGGAGGTGAGTGTTGCTGTGCCACTGGGATTGTGTGTCAGCGGCTGTGGTTTTGCTTGGCAGGGCTGCTTGATGTGTTCGCTCTGATAATGAGACTCCGGAAGTCTCTTACGAAGCGCTCGTTTTGGAGACTTTGACATGTGACTTTTTTGGAGGAATTCTCGTGCGAAGTGAGTTGACGCCAGACTTTTGGAGGAAGTCTTATACGTTGTGTTCGTTTCGAGACTTGACGTGTGAGCTTTGGAGGAAGTCTCGTACGAAACGCTTGTTTTCCAGACTTGACGCGTGAGTTGTGGAGGAAGTCTCGTGTGAAACGCTTGTTTTCGAGACTTGACGCGTGAGTCTTTAGAGGAAGTCTTGTGCGAAGCGCTTGTTTTGGAGACTTGATGCGCGCGTTTTGCAGGAAACCACAACCTTTGGAAAAGAAAAAGTCTGAGAGTAAATCAGACCCAGCTGCTATGAAGCTTCTGAACTCATTTACCTTTGCTTGCCCCAGCTCCATTTTGGGCACTGCTTCGCATCGGAGAAACTTGTTCTTGTATGCGTTGACCACTTTCTCCCCCAACTCTGCCTGACTCAACCGCCACTGAACCAGTTTGCGGCGCTTCAAAGCTTCCACCCTCTCTGGAGCTTCCTTGATGCTTCGCAGAAGCTTCCAATCCCGCTCCAGAGCGGATTGAAAATACTGCCAGCGCGTGTCGCGGACTTTCAACCGCTCTTGTTCTGCTTCAAGAGTCTGACCTTCCTCTTGAACCCTTGCCTGTTCCAAGGCCTGCCGCTTGGCAGATGGGAGCATGCTCAAGGAAAAGGTCGATGGCCGTGCTTCCAGCATCTCAGCAAAGTCCTGGTCTTTGAGGCTGCTGGTGGTCATCAACTTGTCATACTCTGCGAACTCAGTGATCCGCTCGGACATGAAATCACCTGGGTGTAGAGGCAAACTATGTTGCGCAAAGAGACGAGTTCCTCCTTTGTGAGGCGGTAGCGCTTGCGGTCACTTGGCTGCTCCACAATTTGTGTGTCCAACAAGAGTGTCCGACAAAAGTATCCCACAAGAGTGATCCCTTACAAGAGTGTCCTGCAAGAGTGCCCAGCGCAGGTGTCACGCAAGAAGGTCCCACAAGATGCAAGAGTGGCCCACAAAAGTCCCACGAGAGCGTGTCAAGAGTGTCCCATAGGAGTGAGTGTCCGACGAGTGTCCTACACGAGCGTCTCACAAGAGTGTCCTACAAGAGTGTCCTACAAGAGTGTCCTACAAGAGTGTCTCACAAGAGTGTCAAACAATGTTTGGCCGTTTTTTTCGTATGCGAGTGTGCATTCGGGTTCGTGGGTTCCACTTGAAATGTTTGAAACATTTGTGTTTTTGGGTTTGCAGGCAGGCACATGAGCCTTCTTCAGTGTGAATTTTTACTGCATCGTTGCCGGGGCAGCCGCGGGTTTGGGCTGGCGATTTGCTGCTCCAGGACGCAGTTCGCAATCCCATGACACGCAATCCGCAAGAGTGGGAGATGTGGTGTGCAAAGGCCTGGGATGAAGATCTTACGTCCAGAACTGCCATACATTGATTGCTTGCGCCAGGTGATTCAGCATACTTTGTCAGCTGTGGCGTATTGTCACTCGAAAGGCGTCGGTTGCTGGGAGCTGTCGGAGCTGTGGTTGGTCGAGTCGGAGGTGGGAGTGTAGCTTGAAATTGTAAATTTGCTATGTGAGGCTACAGGTTTCTGACCATGACCGAGCGTGACCCAGCACGCCTTCTTAGTCGCGCCGAATTCAGGCTATCCTCCTTGATCTCAGACATAAAACTCAGTCTCACGAGACATGTTTCGTTTGGTACAAATGTGTACTACATCCTGCTTGCGCATAAGTTCGATTCAATCCACAGTATAAAACATTTCTCCTCTATGTCTGATCTCATGCCATGCCTGCAGCTTCTCAGCTTATGCTAGGAAGTCAAGAGCCACATGCATCGAAGCAAAACACCTTGCTGGATTGGGCAAATCACGGAGCTGAAGGACTCTCATCTGACAAGACCAGCAGATGGAAGGTGAAGCTGAAGTGGAATCCTGGAATGAACAGTCCCAATCGATTTTCCGTTCCGCAGAAGGTAAATAAATAAAATTGTGATTGACTGTGTGCATACTTGACACGAACCTCCTTTTGACCGGATGGAAGAGTTTCGGCCCCAAAGCTCAAGATGATCATCAATCTGTTAGCTTCGTTTCTTGGGGCCATGCCCAACATCTTCTGAACCCCCAAGTGCCTTTACTCTCCCCTGACAAACCTTTATTGCCGCACACCAACTAGTAACCGGTGCGCTTGGTGGCGGTTTGGAGGCACGAGAGCTGCTTGCCGGAGCAGAATTCATGTTGCATTTGACCATGAGTCGGTCAGTGTCCAGCAATTGTGCTGATACCCAAACCTCACCAATTGCAGCAGAGTGAAAATTCAATGTCTTTTGCAGACTTGTGCCGAGTTGCGGTACTGCTCCATTCTGCTTGAGGCGAGATTGGATTTTGGTCCTTCGAGAGTTGCTCGGAGTTTATACAACCAGCCTGCTTGGCAGGCCATGTCTGGAGGGGCAGCAGCAGCCACCAGCAAGGGTCTGGAACTGAGGGTACCTTTGCAGTTCTTCTCTTAGAAACCTTCCTTCCCCAGAGCATGTTGAAGCTCGGAATGACCTTGACCGACCTTAGCCTTAACATGCCTTAACCTAAGATGCCGATAGACTGAAGGCGTTCAAGGCCCAAAGCACAGCCACGGCAGCCACAACACGGCGCGCTCCAACTTCGGAAGTCACAAGTTTGCGCACCACCACCTGTCAGGCATCATGGGCTTCTTTGCAAATCGGGAGGAGTGACTGAGTGGCAGCTAGGGTTTCAAGACACTTGAATTGGATTGGAAGTTTGCGTTATCCCTAGGAGTCTTAAAAGATTGAACACTTCTTCAGAAGTTGTGAGTTGGGAAAGCTCAGCTTGTCTCCAGGCGTGCTTAGTTGACTTCGGTGGTTCTGCAGAGAGCGTGATCGACATTCACGTTCTCTGTCACGAGGCCACGGTTGATGGTGGTTTCTCGGTTCTTCGCCGCAAGAAATAAGACTCCTTACAGCCTTGAATGCCGAGGAATATGTTTTCTTCAATTAAAGGCTGAGCGGGGAAGACCAAGTAGGAGCAAGGACGCTACTAGGGGCTCCTGGCCTTACTACTAGGAGCAAGGACGCTACTTGGTGGACACAGTGGACACCTGTTATTCAGCATGCCCAGCGCTCGGTTTCGACTAGGCTCGTGGCATGGATTTGAGCCCTGGAGAGCAGATCTTTGTCTCCCTGCGCGATGCCACGTGCCAGAGCCCAGCTGAAGAGTGGAATGCGCTCGAAGGTTCGGATCGGATGCAGCGCTATTTACTTATTGTTTCTACTAGCTTCTTGCTACTACTAGTAAGGCCCTTGCTCCTAGTATACCCCATGCCTTAGATAATTATTTGGAGGTGGGGGTGACCCTCCAAAATAATTTCCACAGAATAATTACAACTGCTAACTATTTCAGTCAGGTGGGTGGTGGGTGGGGAGCAAAATAATTCCAAATAAAAGGTCAAGGTGGTGCAAAATAATTTCCACATAAAAGGTGACCGCCTAGAAAAATAATTATGATCATGCAATGAGGGAATTCCTGGAAATAGACAATGACTCTGGCAAGCAGACAATGATTTTAGAGGGGGGAGGGTCACAGACCACCTCCAAAATAATTATGTGAGTTGATTGCTGTGAGGATTTGAACTTTGTAGCTCAAGTATGCTGCAGCATTGGGGGTCAAAGGTTCAGGAATCAGAAAAGTAGAGAAGATTTATGGCCATGGATCCACCACCATTGCCAAAGTCGGCGCCGAAAATATGTGCAGTGAAGAACTGTGCCTAAGTTGCAGATAAGCAGAACTATAACGCATGCCGGAACCTGCCAGAACACTTGTGACTGTGCTTGGTTGAGGTATGGCTGATATGGGAGCGCCGGTTTGGAATAGTACCTGGGAATTCTACGTCGCCACATGTGAAACTTGACAGCAAGCGGTTGATCTAGAAGTACCTAGAACATCCTAGAACCACTTCTGAAGGAATCATAGGAATCAGCCGCCTGTGTAAACAGAGCCAAGGAGAAAGAGTTTACGTCTACGTCTGGATACAAGCGGAAATCCCACCACGTTTGCATCTAGTGGCCTGGCTGAAATGCATTGGCTGCCCATGACTGCAATGATGAGAACACTCATCGGAGTTCTATCTATACATACTATGCTATTTTGTGTTTTTTTGGGCAAGGTTTCACGCAGGTGTCACATCTCTTTCCCTGCTTCCACTGAGTTGCCCGGAGACGAAATGCTGGCATACATCCGCTTGTCTCTCACAGACGGCGAGGGAATTGAAGAAGGTTTCAGAGCCTTGGCTGTGGTTTGGGGGGAGGGGCCGGGGTCGTCGCAAGAGTTCTTTTGTTTGCCATTGCCATTGCTTGCTTCAAAACTGGATCAGTTTGGACCGGCGCACTGGTTTGTAGACCGGCAGTTCCTCCAGTATCCTCCACTGTAGCCATGAGCGACTCCTTCAGAGGGCTGCGGTCATTGACTGACTGCTTCATCAGGCTATTGCAGGGGCGTCTTGGACAGGTTGGCGTGCCTGCCGCAGGAGTTGGCCAGCCGGCTACCAGTGCCATATCCCCTGCCCAGCCTAAGCCTAGGAATGAGACAAGGTTGATTGGGAAGAATGAGCGCTGCAACGTCTTCAATCTCAACTTGGCAGCTGCGCTTCCGGAATGCAATGGAGACATCCCAACAAATGGGACACACTTGGCTGGAGTCAACAAGGACTGCAATGTCTTCAACATCAACGTGGGATCCATGACTTTGCCACCTCCGAGTTCCAGTTCAAAGGCGTGCAATGGTGGATCCGGGCAAGCGGCCTCCGCCTACCAGTGGTGGGTCAGCGCCTGAAAAGCGGATTCGTCGCTCACTGTCAGAAGCAACATTGGTCCTTGGTCAAGAGGATGACCAACATCATGAGGTCGAGTCTTCATCCTCAACAGGACCAGAGTGATTGCCATTGCTGATGGCTGTTTGAGTGTAATTGATGTGGCCATGGGCAGGAGTAAGGTTTGCGTAGAGCGCGATAGAGCACTGCAGGATAGGGGTTGCTTGCAGTGCAATAGTGCCATAGCTGTTACTTTTCTGCACCGGCTAACGTCCACAGAATTCCGCAGATTGTAGACCGTTTGATACAGTTTATTTCATTGTAGATGTTTGTAATTGTTTGTAGGATTTTGTACAGTAGGTGTCCTTAGGTTAGAAATGATTTGAAGCGCTTTTTGCCCAGCATGTTGGAAGCCAAAGGGCATTCCACACCTGGCTTCGTTGATGTTGTCATGTGTTCTGTGATGCGTTTTGAATCGTGTTGATGCCTACACTGCTAGAAGTACGCAGGTGAAAGGTTGACTGCAGATTCCTGATCAGATCTATATAATCAGATTTTAGTGAATGTACTTACATGAATGTCGGCCGCTGAAGATTCCCGACGCCGAGGAAAAATCGCAGACAGTGGAGACCAAGAATGAATCCACAATGCCAAAGAAGGATACTTTTTGATACTTTTTGCATCTTTTTTCGCCTTGTTACAAACGTATACAAAAATACATCAACCGTATCAATGCAGAGTGCCAGGAGTCATCGAGTGCCGCAAAATCTTCTGAGCCACCTTCTGCCTCCAAGCCCTCAGCTTCCAAGGCGAAGGAGTGGTGGATAGTGGTGGGTAGAGTGTGGTGTGGAGAGATGTGGAGAGCAAATAAAGTGGACTGATTGATTCCATTGTCTTGTTGATGGATACACAACCGATCATAACCGTACAAAGCGCCAGGAGCCGTCGAAGAATGCCACAAAGCCGCCTTCTGCCTCCAAGCCCTCGGCTTCCACAACGGCCCCGAAGGAGGAGTGGGTAGAGTATGATGTATGGTGGATATAATGGAGTACGTCAGATTCCATTTGTCTTACTGACTGGTTCTTACTATATAGATCTATATAGTGATGTATATTGTCTTCTTGTGATGGATGGCCGTACAAAGCGCCAGGAGCCACCGAAGAAGAATGCAACATCTTCTGAGCCGCCTTGTACTTCCAAGCACTCCGATGCCGCGAAGGAGGGCTGGGCAGAGTGTGGTATGGAATGTGATGGAAATTGATGGAATGTGATATATACTGTAATATACTGTATTATACTGTGATGGAGTGCGCCGAACAACAGCTTGAGAAATCGACCAAGATGTTGGCTGATGCGAAGCAGGAGATCAGTGGAGTGTCCAGATGTGTCCTGTTTAGATTTGAATACTGTAGGTTTTGGTTTTGATACGTTTCATTTGCTATCAATTGCTGTTGATTCAGGAGGCCGCGTCTGCTTCCCAGCCGTCTTCTTCCTTGACAAAGCCTCCACCAACTCCCGTGAAGCAGGAGATCGGTAGAGTGATGCATAGTGATGCAGAGTGTAGTGGGCAAAAGAAACATTAGCGGCCCTGTGAGCAACAGCAACTCCAGGATCCTGGTGCTGAAGCTCTG